GGTATTGGAAAGTGGAGACCTTCATATAAGCAATATACAATTCGACGATAGTGGCACATACACTTGTTATGCAGAAAATAAGTTTGGAAAAACGAATGCTACCTGCTCATTTTTAGTAAAAGGTAGAGACACATTTAAAATAATTTCTTGTGAATTAATTTTCGTATTTTTAGAACACACCCGTATCACTGACGGACCTGAAGATTACGAAGTTCAAGCAGGGACACCTGCTACGTTTAGATGTAATGCTGTATCTGACCCATCTTTACCTCTCGAAATTATTTGGTTAAGTAACGAATCCCCGATTGATTTCGAAGGCGAACCACGATTCGTTAAATCCTCCGATTATTCACTTACGATTACGAAAACTATTGAATTAGATTCAGGAACCTACACGTGTGTAGCCAAAACAGACCTTGACGAAGCCAGTGCATCGGCCATTCTTATTGTCCAAGGTATGAACGAAATTTAAAAGTTTTGCTAATTACGTATTGTAATTGCAATTTTATTTTCAGATGTACCAAACCCACCTGTTATTCAAAGAACGACCTGTGCCAAGAAAGACGCAACATTGGAATGGAAACCTATGGGAGATAATAGGGCTCCTATTTTGAGATACACAATTGAATACAACACAAGCTTTACTCCCGATGTCTGGGAAGTTATGTATGAATCTGTACCTGCTGCAGACACCAGTTACACTGTAATGTTTTACTATTTTTTTTAACAAAATATTACAGCTTGTTTATTTCATATTCAATATTTCAGCTTCCCCTCAGCCCATGGGCTAATTACACCTTTAGGGTAATTGCTTGGAATAAAATAGGTCCTTCTCAGCCTTCTGGCCATTCAGATATTTGTACAACTGGCCCTGAAGTTCCTCATAAAAATCCTGACAATGTGGAAGGAAGAGGAAATCAACCGGATAATCTAGTAATTAGATGGACCGTAAGTGCCTCGAATACTTTTAAACAAGTGCATGATTCTAATGATTTTATTTCTTCTTACAGCCCATGCCCGAAATTGAGCACAACGCTCCCCGATTTTCTTACAGAATTTACTGGAAACGAGACATACCAGGTGAAGACTACAATGTGGAGGATGGTAGAAAGAAAAAGAATAAAAAAATAATTAATTTAAAAAAATATTATAAACATCACTAAAGATTTTCATAAGTATTTGCCTATTATATTTTAATTACATATGTTAATTTCAAATTTGAACCTATGGAATTGTTATTCATAGAAAACATTAATGAGCGGCGTGTTATTATTTAATCTATGAATGTACACGTCTGTCTGCTGTTCCCAGCTGTTCCTGTCCACGTCAATTCATTCGAATTTGTGTTCGTAGCGTGTTGATAGTGTGGTAACGCTACAAACAAAAATGTTTAATTTATTAATTTTGTGTGCTTTGTTTATAAATGCTTATTCTTTGGAAACAGTTAATAAACAGATAGTGAATAAAAATATCGAACGGTCGATTGATTTATCATCGCAACTCGTAAAAATTTCTGCAACACTAACCGTAGAAAATACCGGCAAGGAAAGTGCAAGTAACATCTTGATTTTATTGGAGCCAAAAACGAAGAGTAATGTATCATACATAAGTGTTAAGAATTCCTTAAAAGAAGAATTAAAATTAACAGAAGTTGAAGTTCAAGATCACAAGAGCAAACAGTTTTATAAAGTTGAGTTAAGTCAGTCTCTTCAAGGGGGCCGTACAATTGTCTTAACATTAGAAATAGTACTGACTAAATCTCTTATACCATACCCTAGCAGCATTTCCCAAAAGGACAGACAACTTGTTAGATACTTTGGAAGTCATTACTTTTACTCACCATACAACACTTTAAAACAAAAAACCACTGTTAATTTGGGTTCAAGAAATATCGAAAGCTACACAAAGCTCAAACCAGTGAGTCAGTTGGAGTCCACCATAGTATATTTTAAAATAACAATCTTAGATAAATTAATAAAAATGGCAACAACACTGTCTCGAACTACGCATTTAGAGAATAAGGCCCGACCATTTACTGTAATTGTAGAAGGTAACATAGGAAGTGGGAAGACAACGTTTTTAAATTATTTTAAAAAATATGAAGATCTGTGTGTATTAGCTGAACCAATTGAATTATGGCGAGAGTGCAGTGGACACAATTTGCTAGTAAGTTTTAAAAAAATATATTTTAAAATTTTTAGCAATTAATACATTACAGCAATACTTATATGAAGATATAAATCGATGGGGATTTAGCTTTCAGTCATATGTAATGCTAAGTATGTTGAAACATCATCTCAAAATAACAGAACATCCTATTAAAATGATGGAGAGGTCTATCTTCAGTGCTAGGTAACATTCTTTGATTAACTAAACATTAACATTAATTATAAATCAATTTCAGATATTGTTTCATTGAAAAAATGAAAATGGATGGCCTTTTACCATCCCCATCCCATGCTGTTCTAGATGAATGGTTTAAGTGGATCACTGCCAGTTGTAATGTATCTGTTGACTTAATAGGTAAACCACAATGCAATATGATGCATTAATATATATATAATTCCTTTTCAACAGTTTACTTGAGGACTAGTCCAGAAGTTGTTTACGAAAGAATGCTGCAAAGGAACCGTAAAGAAGAAAAAAATGTCTCTTTAGATTATCTAAAACAGCTACACGAAATACATGAAGATTGGCTATACAGAAGAAGTATATTTTCTTGTCCTGCACCTGTTGTTACCCTAAATGCCAATTTGGATCAATCAGTTTTAAAGGAGGAATACAAAAAATGGGAACCCTGTATTTTAAATAAAATTCAAGTTTCCATTTAATTTTGTCAGGCCATATCATTTCATTCCTTGTATCATTCGATTAACATATAAATTATATTATCAAAATAAACTTTTTTGGGTGTTTTTAGTGTCACTTGATTAATAAGATGAATTTTTAAAAAGGACCTTTTTTGAATCCCCTATTTAACCAACATGAATAAAATCATTTTTAATTATAAAAATATCCTATTGCATAAGAATTAACTTAATTATATAAAGTGATAACACATTGTTAGATTCATATTTAAATAAAATTAATTATTTACTATCGGCCATAAGCTTAACTACTTCTTTCTGGTGGTTATCCCATAACAATTTTGCAATTCTACCAATTGTTGCTTCATTTGGCTTTATTCTGGTCCAATCCAATAAAAGTTGATAAATCACCTACAAGTTTCTTGATTATAAACTAAAAAAAATTAAACTTGTTTCTTACCTCTTTAATGCCACTTTTAATAAAATCTGTATGAAATTGAAAAATCTGACCTTCAGAATATTCTAAAGCTCTAGCTACATTTTCCCATCCTTTACCCATGTGGGCTGATACAAAAATTAAATCCTGTCGATTTAAATGGTTATTACTTTCAAATAAATTTTGAATTTCTTTTGTCATTACTATCGACTCTTTTTTTCCTAANTCCCCGATTGATTTCGAAGGCGAACCACGATTCGTTAAATCCTCCGATTATTCACTTACGATTACGAAAACTATTGAATTAGATTCAGGAACCTACACGTGTGTAGCCAAAACAGACCTTGACGAAGCCAGTGCATCGGCCATTCTTATTGTCCAAGGTATGAACGAAATTTAAAAGTTTTGCTAATTACGTATTGTAATTGCAATTTTATTTTCAGATGTACCAAACCCACCTGTTATTCAAAGAACGACCTGTGCCAAGAAAGACGCAACATTGGAATGGAAACCTATGGGAGATAATAGGGCTCCTATTTTGAGATACACAATTGAATACAACACAAGCTTTACTCCCGATGTCTGGGAAGTTATGTATGAATCTGTACCTGCTGCAGACACCAGTTACACTGTAATGTTTTACTATTTTTTTTAACAAAATATTACAGCTTGTTTATTTCATATTCAATATTTCAGCTTCCCCTCAGCCCATGGGCTAATTACACCTTTAGGGTAATTGCTTGGAATAAAATAGGTCCTTCTCAGCCTTCTGGCCATTCAGATATTTGTACAACTGGCCCTGAAGTTCCTCATAAAAATCCTGACAATGTGGAAGGAAGAGGAAATCAACCGGATAATCTAGTAATTAGATGGACCGTAAGTGCCTCGAATACTTTTAAACAAGTGCATGATTCTAATGATTTTATTTCTTCTTACAGCCCATGCCCGAAATTGAGCACAACGCTCCCCGATTTTCTTACAGAATTTACTGGAAACGAGACATACCAGGTGAAGACTACAATGTGGAGGATGGTAGAAAGAAAAAGAATAAAAAAATAATTAATTTAAAAAAATATTATAAACATCACTAAAGATTTTCATAAGTATTTGCCTATTATATTTTAATTACATATGTTAATTTCAAATTTGAACCTATGGAATTGTTATTCATAGAAAACATTAATGAGCGGCGTGTTATTATTTAATCTATGAATGTACACGTCTGTCTGCTGTTCCCAGCTGTTCCTGTCCACGTCAATTCATTCGAATTTGTGTTCGTAGCGTGTTGATAGTGTGGTAACGCTACAAACAAAAATGTTTAATTTATTAATTTTGTGTGCTTTGTTTATAAATGCTTATTCTTTGGAAACAGTTAATAAACAGATAGTGAATAAAAATATCGAACGGTCGATTGATTTATCATCGCAACTCGTAAAAATTTCTGCAACACTAACCGTAGAAAATACCGGCAAGGAAAGTGCAAGTAACATCTTGATTTTATTGGAGCCAAAAACGAAGAGTAATGTATCATACATAAGTGTTAAGAATTCCTTAAAAGAAGAATTAAAATTAACAGAAGTTGAAGTTCAAGATCACAAGAGCAAACAGTTTTATAAAGTTGAGTTAAGTCAGTCTCTTCAAGGGGGCCGTACAATTGTCTTAACATTAGAAATAGTACTGACTAAATCTCTTATACCATACCCTAGCAGCATTTCCCAAAAGGACAGACAACTTGTTAGATACTTTGGAAGTCATTACTTTTACTCACCATACAACACTTTAAAACAAAAAACCACTGTTAATTTGGGTTCAAGAAATATCGAAAGCTACACAAAGCTCAAACCAGTGAGTCAGTTGGAGTCCACCATAGTGTATGGACAATATGCAAATGTACAACCTTTCAGTATCGATCCAATGGTAATTCATTATGAAAACAATTCTCCATTTTTAACAGTGACTAGTTTAAAGCGTCTTATTGAAATTTCCCATTGGGGAAGTATAGCTATTGAGGAAAATATAGATATTCTTCATTCTGGTGCAAAACTTAAGGGGCCATTTTCACGTTATGATTATCAAAGGGATGTTGGTAGTTCTCATCATAGTGTAAAATCATACAAAACAGTTTTACCAGCAGCTGCACATAGTATTTACTACAGGGATAGCAATGGTAATATTTCAACTTCTCAAGTAAGAGTGCGAAAAGATTGGATTGAACTAGAACTTCGTCCCAGGTTTCCACTTTTTGGAGGATGGCGTACTTCTTATACATTGGGCTATAGTGTACCAAGTTACCAGTATTTGTTTAAAACTGACAAGAATCAGTATCTTCTACATATGAGATTATTAGATCATATATTTGATGATATGCAAGTTGATTTGCTAGAAACTAAGATTGTTTTGCCTGTAGGAGTTTCTAATGTACAATTAACTACTCCTTATGAAGTTGAGAGACTACCAGACTCTTTAACTTACAAGTATTTGGATAAGAAGGGGCGTTTAGTTATTTCACTAAGAAAAACCAACTTGGTGGAGCACCATATTCAAGACTTTGAAGTTGTTTATGAATGGCCTAGCTCCCTTCTCTTCCATGAGCCTATTTCGTTGACTTTTGCTTTGTATGTTCTTTTCTTAGTCATAATAATTTATGTTCGTTTAGATTTTTCACTACATGAAGCAAAATCTGAACATGTTAAGACTCAGTAATATTTTTGCTTTTATTAAGTAGGTCATTTTGGTGTATTTCGTTTTCTCCTAAAATGTAACTGCTATAGAATTTCTTATAATGAAAAGTACTTTAGTGTTGTAGTAGTGTTCTTATGTTAATAAATACACCAAACTATCTTCAAATACTTGTTTTATTTGAAAGTAATTACAAGATAGAAAGATGTATCTTACGAGGTCAAAAGTCGATTTTATAAGTTTGTATTTTTAGAATATATTCATTTTTAATAAAAAAAAGCCTGGGTTATAATATAACATATTACGTTGTATACATTTGTAAATGAAAAATATTTTTTTTAAAAAATTAATTTCTTAGTGTGGTAGGACCTGACGAAAGATTTTACAGTTGGTACAATAAAATTGCAAAAATTTTAAAAGGTTTGTCATGCGCCATAGGGCATGCGCAGAAGGGATCGTTCGAGTTGTTTTTATAACGCGTTTTCTGTCGGAACGATACTAAATTCAATTTTAAAAGTGTTTAAGGGTGTAGTTTTGTAATATCTACTAATTGAATACTTCATCAACGTACAAACAAGTATAATATACTTCAAAATGCCCCATGATGGAATTGCTACATTAGAAGACCGATTGGACAGAATAAGTTCTCAATTAGAGAACAAAAGTGTTCTAGAAAGGTATTATTGGAATTTCTTTTATTTAGATATACTAAATAAATTATTTGTTTACTAGAGTCACTGAATTAGTTGAATCACGATTGGTAGATTGTGGTTGGAAAGATCAAATAAAATTAACCCTAAGAAAAATGTTGGAGGAAGATAAAGAACATACATGGACTGTAGATGAACTTATTCAGGTTGTCACACCAAAGGCAAGAGGCATGGTTCCTGACACGGTAAAACGAGAATTACTTCATGAACTGGAGAAGATTTTTACAAGAATAGATGACTTGCATTATAATAAATCACTGTAAGGAAATTTTATTTTTTGATTTTTATTATATATCCCCAGTTATACAAATTTGAGGCTGTGAAAGTATACAGATCCAAACCGTGTAGCTGGTTGGACGCCACATTCTGATTATTTTAACTAAACTGATGTAACAGCTTGTAGTGTTATTATTTGTTTGTTTTATTTATATATAAATGCTCAGTTTTATTTTTAAATCATACTTAATTCTACATGTATTAAATTTCATATTTGTAGATTCTATAAAACACAAACTTATAAAATATATTTTTAATTAAGTTTATTTCTTTTTTTTAATAAACAGGTTGAATAAAATTAAGGATTGGTATGAAAACAGTCTTCAAGTTTTATGGCAAGTTTATTTGAAAAATTGAAGAATGCAATAGTACCTCTGTAGCTTAAAAAGCTGATATTCCTGTTATGGCCCTTCCTAATATTAAGGCATGTATATCATGAGTTCCTACAAAGCAAGTAATAAAGTAAAGACAAATTAAATTGTATAATATTTTCAGTCATTCACCTTCGTAAGTGTTAACTGTTTCCAAATTAACTAAATGCCTTATGACATGATAGTCTTCATGAATTCCATTTCCTCCTAGCATATCTCTTGCATTCCTTGCAATTTCTAATGCCTTTCCTGCATTATTTCTTTTTAATAAAGAAATCATTTCTGGTGTATGTCTATAAACATTTTTATTGTAATAAAGTTAAATGTTTTAGGAGATACGTACATATTCTTATCCTTTAACCTGCCCACTTGTAAGCATCCTTGTAAACCAAGACTAATGTCTGTTAACATATCAGCTAATTTCTTTTGTATTAATTGATTTGCAGCTAATGGTTTCTGAAACTGTTTTCTTTGTATGACATACTCTCTAGCGATTTGGAAACACGATTCTGCAGCCCCTAGAGCTCCCCAAGCAATACCATATCTGGCATTATTTAGACAACCAAAAGGGCCCTTAAGGCCTTCTACCTTTGGCAATAAATTTTCTTCTGGTATTTTTACATTATCTAAGTGAACCATTCCTGTAACTGAAGCTCTTAAAGACAACTTGCCTTCTATTTTGGGAGTACTAATGCTTCCTGATTTGATATTTTTACGATCTATTATAAAACCTCGAACTTTATTGTCTGGACATACAGCCCAAATTATTAATACATCAGATATAGGGGAATTCGTAATCCTAAGAGCATAAACATTAATTAATTTTGCATATAATTCCTTGGAAAGTTCAATTTTATTTTTTTTTAATTAAATTGTACCATGTTTTATTTCCATTCAGTGTATAAGTTTTAGATGTTGAATCATATACTGCTTTGGTATCCATAGATCCAGGATCACTTCCATGATTTGGCTCAGTCAGACAAAAACAACCTACTATATTGCCTTTAGCTGTAACATGTTTCATGAATGTTAGCATTGAATACAGATATTTATAAAGAAAAAAGTAAATGTACCTAATTGGGGTAAATATTTTTCTTTCTGATATTCAGATCCATACATAGCAATAGCTCCCATAACTAGCGACGACTGAACACTTAAAGCAGATCTGTAAGCACTATCTACTCTTTCTATTTCTCTTGCCAATAAACCGTATGCCACATTGGATACTCCTGCACATCCATAGCCATTTATTGTACAACCCAGAGCTCCAAGTTCTCCCAGTTCATTTAAAATTTTTCTGTCAAATACTTAAAATATTTGAAAAGTATAGACCAAATAATTATTGAGTAAAAATAATATACCTTCTTCCTTGTTTGCTTTAATAATCCTTGGAAGAAGCTTTTCATCACAGTACTGTTTAAAACTATCTCGTAAAATTCTTTCATCTTGAGTTAATTGAGAATCCAAATTTAATGGATCCTCCCAGTTAAATGAAACTAAAATTAATAAATAATTACAGTAAAAAAAAAATTCTATTTTATATGGTAAACTTGCTTTTACTGGAAAATGTTCGTGGATTTGCAAGCGTTTCTAAAATTAGGTAATTAAGGATAATAATATTTGCTGAAACACAAATATGCAGTCAAAGGATACTTTTTAAAATCTTGGTAGGTATTTGCCAAAGGATGCAATTCTTGAAAATGTTCATTGTGAAGCTGTTGATTTCATAATAACATTAAATTGGTTTTCATTAGTTGTTATCTTGTTGACCTTATAAATTCTGTTTACTAGAGCATACAGACATTTAATATTTATTCTTAACTTTATCTGATGATCTATAAACAATTATAAATAAGGAAACATATAAATAATGTATTAAAATTATTTTATTAAACTTGAACGGTAATAATTTAATACTAGAATGATATTACCGTTAGTATTTTTAAATAGCTTGTCTAATTATAAGTTGTAATTCATATAACTATTTATAATAAGCTTTTTTCAATCTAGATCAAAATACAATGGTATATAGTCATAAACATTAAAAAAAACATATTTCTTCATCATAAGTTGCCTGTTAAAAAAATACTGGGATATTATTTGAAAATCTAGATTTACTTTAAGGATTTAATATACATAGTTATGTTTAATATTATGTGTATTATTAATTTATGAATTTCTTCTGTTATTAAGAAGTTTTCGTAAATTTAACATTATTTTTAAATTTTGATAATAGTTAAGCGTCTCTCCGAAAGGTGTTGCTGTAGTTCTCCCCTTAAACCACACCTCACCGCTTACATTTAATCTAATAACAAAACGGTAATTTAGAAATATCTGTTCTGGGACCACTTGGAGTAAACGAAATAGTTGAAATGGGCATATAAAACAGTACTTTGTTTAAAGTAAAACTTAAAATTGTGGTAATAATTCATATTTCATTTTGTTAATTGACTAATGTGTAGTGACCGCGCCTACCTCGCTGTTCATCTGGTGTTTGTTTGAAGTGCAATCGTTAAATGGTTATGATCCTAAAATCGGTCGTCAGGTAATTTAGTCTTTATCTTATCATATCATGTAAGTATGTAATTAGATAACATAGATAAGCGTTGTATATAAAATTTTTTATTTAAACTGATATTGCTTTTGGATAACACTTTTCTTAACGTTAATTGTCGATATAGGACGTACATGTACAGCAAACATTAAATACATTTAAATACCTTCATTATTTTTATCTTATCTGATGTCATGATTTAATAAAATAGAATATATAATATTATTTTAATCAAAATATCGAATTAATGCAATAAAGTTATTTACATGAGAATAAGTGGGATTTGTTTACATGTATGATGATGCTTAACGGAATAAATACTTGCATAAAACTCTTCAAGGTACTTCCTAGACCTGATTATTTTAATAGGAAACGTACTTCTAACTAAATTAACGTCTTCTTTTTTCATATTTTTTTAATTTTGACCTTTTCCTTTTAATGTCACACATTAAATTGTTTGCATTATAGCTGTATGCAAATGTGACATAGTTCTTGTACCTTTATTAGACATACTTTAATTATAAATTATAAAGTGGAAGATGATTCATTAGTTATGATGTCACAAATGTATGTGCAATGTTTAAAAATTGCACCTACCTAATGGTTAATAGTTTAATTGGTATTCAATGAATCGTCATAAAAAGCCAAAATAGTGTCAATAACTTCTAGTCATTAAATAATCAAAATCTGTTACATAAAGGTACCTAAGGTACCTATGTTATTGTAAGCTTTTTCTTCATTGTATTTTTAAGAAATTTGTCTTAAAAAAGTTAAAGTTCACTTAAACTCTCATGAGATTAATTTTATAGATGATCCAATGATAAAATGTACAGTTAGTATTGTAAAAAGTAAGCACGAAGTAAACCTATCGTCTTTTCATTTTTTCTCAACCTGTAATGTAATTTAGAATTATTCCTGAATCACTTGAATCTTGTATCCGGTAAAAGCATTAGGTTGAAAAGTTTGTGCACATTATCAAATTAATATTGTTAAATATTAGACATCATTCGTATTAAAATGTTCAAAGACATTCAAACAGTAATTGCAGCTCATTTTACATTTGAATTATACCGGAAGATATAATAATAGTATAATGCCTAAACCTAAAGCACGTTGCGTTTCTTTGAATATCTAAATAGGTACAATATGTTAAAAACTTTTTAATAAACATATGTACAGTTGTATTCAAAGGTAATGGTAATTTTTAAATCACATAAAATTGAGAAATAAAAAGGTGTTAATACTTTTTTAGATTCATCTGTAACTTTTTGTGCATTATTAAAATTTAAAATATTGAACGGGCCTTGTATATTTAATTGAAAAATAAAGGAATTTCGAACAATGACGTCATGCTTGTTCTCATTTTATAAGATGAAACAAAAATTGATAAGTAGGTTAATCGTGTTTTGAATATTTTATTCTATTTTTGATTTGTTTGTTGGATGTCCTTTAAGTATATTAGCCTGTCATTGAAATAAAATCAATAAAACTCGGACTATTTTCATCGTACCTATACTTTTTCAAATTCTAGCTGTGTACAGAATATATTAAAAATAATCATTCGCCTACACATTGTCTGCGTTCAAAATAACTAAATAGACATGAGGAAATAATTTACACATAAGAAAGAGTAAGCGAAACAAAATACATAAATTTAGTTAAATAAAAATAATTTAATTTATGAAAGGCAATTTCTAATAAAAGTAAAATAGAGACCGTTTGCCTAATTGTGTAAGTGACTATGTGTATGTACAGTTAAAATCACAAAAATGGTTACAATAGTTTCATTGACGTCCAACCTGAATAAAAATTTATAGAGAACAATTAAAATGTAGAATGGATATTAAAGAATATTGGGAATTATAGGGATAAAAAAAAACGTTTGCTGACCGTTAATGTATAAGATACATACAGAGTGTTTTAAATTAAATTACAGATTTAACAATTGTATTTTACAGATTACAGTAGAGGCTCGTCATTATGTTAACAAAACAGTTAGTGTTGGTCTTCATAGCGACAAGTTTATTTGTTATCACTGCTAGAGAAGGTAAATAATTGTAATTGTTTGTCCCCACTCTATATAAATATCTTCTTTCTTACAGTACCATCGCCACCCAGAATAGTAAAGCAGCCCCCAACAGATGAAGTATTGTTTCAAGTTGGGGCAGATGAAAATGATAAACCATTTTACATCGAATGTGAAGCCATAGGTGAACCTGCACCGAGGTACAACTATTTTCTTATTGGTTCATTTATAATAAAATTTACTATTCTTTTTTGGTGCAGATACCGCTGGATAAAAAACGGCAAACATTTCGATTGGCAGGCATACGACGATAGAATATCCCAACAACCCGGTAGAGGTACCCTATCAATAGCTAAGCCTAAAGATGTAGATATTGGTCAGTACCAGTGTTTTGCTGAAAATGAGTGGGGTGTGGCTACCTCTAATTCTGTGTTCATGAGAAAGGCTGAATTAAATTCATTCAAAATTGCACCTCCATTAGCAGCTACAGGGCAAGAAGGCGAACCATTTAAACTTAGTTGTCAACCACCTGATGGGTGGCCTAAACCAAAAGTATATTGGATGATACAATATACCACTGATGGTTTCAAATCGATAAATAACTCGCGTATGACACTGGATCCTGAAGGAAACCTTTGGTTTTCTAATTTAACAAGGGAAGATGCTAGTGATAACTTCATGTATGCCTGTGCTGCATCTTCATCTACCAAATTAGAATATAAACTGGGTAATAGAGTCTTACTTAATGTAATCGCTTCAGGTGTTTCTCCATCTCAAAACAAACACGAGCCTGTTCTCCAATATGTAACTAGGAAGAATGAAGTAGCGTTAAGAGGGAAAAGCGTTGAACTTTTTTGTATCTTTGGTGGAACGTGAGTTGTGCCAAGTTTCAATTGTGTTTTTATTAAACACTAATAAAATATTGTATAAATTGTAGACCTCTACCCCAAACTGTATGGTCTAAAAACGGAAAGTTAATACATTCCTCCGATAAAATTACCCAGGGGAATTATGGTAAATCGCTAATAATAAAAATGGTCGATTTTGACGACGAGGGAACTTATAGTTGCGAAGTTAGTAACGGAGTTGGTGAACCAAAATCGTATTCAATAAACTTACAAGTGTTGGGTAAAATAAATTAAGTCTAATTATAGGCGAACTATTTTTTAAAATACCATATTGTAGCCGTACCGTATTTCACGCAAGAACCACAGTTTGTCACTGCAGCAGAAGATGAAACTGTTGAATTCCATTGTGCAGCATCTGGTGTTCCAGAACCTCAAATTAAGTGGATACATAATGGTAAACCTATTGCAGAGGCTCCTCCAAATCCAAGAAGAAAAGTGACCAGTAATAGTATTATCATTGAAAGAGTTACGCGAGCTGATACTGGAAATTATGGCTGTAATGCCACTAACTCGTTGGGATATGTTTACAAGGATGTTTATGTTAATATTCTTGGTATAGAATAAAAAAATATATATTTGTACAAATTTAACATATAATACTTTCAGCTTTGGCTCCAGAAATCACAGAAGCACCAAGAGATCAAGAGGCAGTTGATGGTAAAGATATAAATATGACTTGTAAAGTTTATGGTGCTCCCAAGCCACAAGTAAAGTGGATACATAATGGTAAAGAACTAACTGGAGGTAGATATTCGGTATTGGAAAGTGGAGACCTTCATATAAGCAATATACAATTCGACGATAGTGGCACATACACTTGTTATGCAGAAAATAAGTTTGGAAAAACGAATGCTACCTGCTCATTTTTAGTAAAAGGTAGAGACACATTTAAAATAATTTCTTGTGAATTAATTTTCGTATTTTTAGAACACACCCGTATCACTGACGGACCTGAAGATTACGAAGTTCAAGCAGGGACACCTGCTACGTTTAGATGTAATGCTGTATCTGACCCATCTTTACCTCTCGAAATTATTTGGTTAAGTAACGAATCCCCGATTGATTTCGAAGGCGAACCACGATTCGTTAAATCCTCCGATTATTCACTTACGATTACGAAAACTATTGAATTAGATTCAGGAACCTACACGTGTGTAGCCAAAACAGACCTTGACGAAGCCAGTGCATCGGCCATTCTTATTGTCCAAGGTATGAACGAAATTTAAAAGTTTTGCTAATTACGTATTGTAATTGCAATTTTATTTTCAGATGTACCAAACCCACCTGTTATTCAAAGAACGACCTGTGCCAAGAAAGACGCAACATTGGAATGGAAACCTATGGGAGATAATAGGGCTCCTATTTTGAGATACACAATTGAATACAACACAAGCTTTACTCCCGATGTCTGGGAAGTTATGTATGAATCTGTACCTGCTGCAGACACCAGTTACACTGTAATGTTTTACTATTTTTTTTAACAAAATATTACAGCTTGTTTATTTCATATTCAATATTTCAGCTTCCCCTCAGCCCATGGGCTAATTACACCTTTAGGGTAATTGCTTGGAATAAAATAGGTCCTTCTCAGCCTTCTGGCCATTCAGATATTTGTACAACTGGCCCTGAAGTTCCTCATAAAAATCCTGACAATGTGGAAGGAAGAGGAAATCAACCGGATAATCTAGTAATTAGATGGACCGTAAGTGCCTCGAATACTTTTAAACAAGTGCATGATTCTAATGATTTTATTTCTTCTTACAGCCCATGCCCGAAATTGAGCACAACGCTCCCCGATTTTCTTACAGAATTTACTGGAAACGAGACATACCAGGTGAAGACTACAATGTGGAGGATATCCTTGATTGGAGACAAAGCCAGTTTGTAGTCAATAACGAACCGTCTTTCCAACAATATCGCATTAAAGTGATTGCTATGAATGAAATTGGAGAAGCAAATGTAGCACCTAAAGAAGTTATAGGGTACTCGGGGGAAAATGGTAAATAAAATTGTTTTGTAATTAAAAAGAAGTAATAGTGGACATTTTTATTACAGAACCATTGCAAGCACCTGGAAATTTTACATTAGTAGAAGTTCAGTCAGCTACTACAGCATTATTGAGTTGGAGTCCTGTTCCTCTAGATTCAGTAAGAGGTCATTTTAGAGGGTACAAGATCAAAACATGGACCGATACTTCCAACGGCCACAGGGAAATCCAGGTACAAGGAGATGCTACCAAAGCTTTAGTCACGAATTTGGTTCCTTTCTCAAAGAATCACGCTCAAGTTTATGTATACAACGACAAATATAACGGACCTCCAAGTGAAACTCTCAGCTTCGATACACCTGAAGGGGGTATTTGAATTTTTTTTTTGTGTTAACATAATATAAAGTGAACATTATCTTTTAGTTCCTGGTCCTATAGCATCGTTAGAAGCGCATCATATGGGTTCAGAAGCATTCTATCTGATATGGAAAAAGCCTGAACAGCCAAATGGAATTCTTACTGGTTACAATATTTATTATGCTGTAGTTAATGGTACAAATGTCGGTGAGAAAATACCCAGGCAGCCACAAATCACAGACCCTAATCAGCTTCGTGCCAAGCTTTCAAAATTAAAACCTAACGTTAAATACCGTCTTTATGTTAGTGCCACAACATCTGCAGGGGAATCAGATCCGTATGAAGAAAAAAAATATTTTGTATCCGTTTTTGATAAATTAATGTATTTGATAGGTACTTCATCGAACGTACCACAAGAAGTATCAGCTCCAGCAGACCGTCAGTACCATCTTTCACTTGGCAGAGAGAAACAACAGAAAACAATATGGTTGCAATAAAAGTACTTTGGCATCCAAATCTATCTGGAAGACCGGGTTCACACTTTTTCGTAAAATACAGGAAGAAGGGGGAACCTGACTGGGCGGAAACTGATCCAGAATATTATGAAGACTTCCTTATGGTTAGAGCCCTTGAGCACGATGAAATATACGAGTTTATTTTGGTGGCTGCCGATGGAACTTACTACACTGAAAGTGAAATACAAGAAGTCGATACTTACGGATCAGATGGGCCGATTATACAACCGAGAGAAAATGTTGCAACTGCCGGATGGTTTATTGGAATGATGCTTGCAATTGCATTTTTAATTCTTGTCCTTATCATTGTATGTATTGTGAAGAGGAATAGAGGTGGAAAATACGCCGTACATGAAAGGGAACAAGCCAATGGAAGAAGAGACTACCCTGAAGAGGGTGGTTTTCATGAATATTCACAGCCGTAAGCAATGTATAATTACCAATTGGTAACTGTGTAATTGTTTTATACCTTTTTTTAAGATTGGACAATAAGTCACATGGTAGAGCTTCAATGAGTAGTGAAGCAAAAGTGGGACCTGAAAGCGATACCGACTCTATGGCGGAATATGGTGAAGGAGATACAGGTATTTTCTTAAATAAAAAACATCTTTCCGTTTCTTTTTTTTTGATATTAAATGAAAGTTATTTCAAATTAAGGAACTTATTTTCCGAATAAATATTGTTTTATGGGGAGTTTATAAAAACTAATTAACGAGTTTAGAATTAAGATTATAATTTTTTTATTATTTTTTACTCTTGAGTTGTTGTTTTTTTTTTTTCAATGTAGAAGGTATGAATGAAGATGGCTCATTTATTGGTCAGTATGGCCGAAAAGCTAGACCAGGGGAAACAACATCTCAGGGATTTGCAACTCTTGTGTGAAATGTAAGAATAAAACGTTTTTGTTGGATAATGATTTTTAGACTAACATTTATCGCTAATATTGGGAATATGGTTATTAAAATTAGTGGCTGAATGTATATAATATAACAACGTTGGCATTTATTAATAGGTGTGGATTTGTTAAGCTTAATACTGCTGTATATTTTGGGATCGTAATTTCTACTTTCATACATGCTATAGAAGGAATAATATTATTTTTTAATAGGTCGTTTTACTGAAGATGGATCTTTCATTGGCCAATATGTACCAAGCAACATGAAACAGTTAGGTGCAGTTCCTGCAGTCTCTCAGCCAAGTACCGTGGCAACGTATGTTTAGCCTTATCCTTTAATTAACACTCATTATCAGTTATCGTCAACGTTTAATAATTGTACAGCTTAAGTGTCAATAAGTAGTTATTCGAAAATGCCTTTTCACGCCGATTGGCATTTTTCTGTACCGCTTTGCACGATATATTGGTCAAGATCTTTTTTGTGTTCCATATTTAAAGTATAAATTCGTCCAATTTTGTATTTAACTCTTAAGTTGTAAAGTTACTTTTTACAGCTAGTCACCAAAAATGATTGAAGGTTACAAAAATAATTTTACTCTAGGTCAAATTGTATCCTTAACTTTAAGACAATTAATGAATTCAGAGTAAAATTATGTTGCTCATTGAAGTAGATTTTTATTTTTATCCTTTTTGATGGCTAATTGTAATGAACTTGTTTTCTCCATCATATAGGATTGCATATTGCATACACAATGTAGATAAATTAAGTATATATTTATATTTTTGTGCCTTTTCAGTTATATTTATCTGAAAATATTATCTACAGCTATATGCATAATTTAATTAATCAACTGAATCAAAATAATGTGCTGAGGAATTTAAATGTGTGATCTGGAAAAAATACTTAAGTATAAATAGTTCATTGTACTCTTTATTATTAACGGTGTAAATCCCGGAAAATCAAACGAATAATATTTCTAGCTTTTACTCTTTGATTTTTGATATTTGTATGAAATGTTAAAATAGTTTACTTCACATTTTATGTACATTTAAGGTAGTTTTGTATGTTTATTAGTTTATGACGAAAAATTGATTCAACTGCCTAAAGCCCCCATATTTCAATTTTTAATTCATGACGTCTAATTGGCTAATCTCTTATTTTATAATATGAATCTCAAGAATCGATATTAATTTATACATATTAATAGGCAACTAGGTTTATGAGTTTGTTTAGAATGAACGAATAACATTATGTGAAGTCTCTTCTACTTAATACGCATCCACTTCTTAAAGTTCTGCAGATGGGGAGGTGCTAACATTAGTTACTTGTTGTATGATTGTTGCTTGTTGCAATTCAGGACTTTTTTGTCATTTTCAGTCTTTACCTTCAGCGTTGTAAATTACTCTATGTGGAGGAATGCACTCTTATATAAAAATACATCTTAATATCAAATGATGTATAAAAAAATTTCTATTTCTACCTAATCTGGCAAGTGTTTTTTAAACGTTCGTAAACTTTTTCGCTATAGTACCGTAATACAGATATACATTTTGTAAATTTTACATCTTTAGGTGTATAAGGCAACAGAAAAAAATGCTTTTAGTGGCAGTATTGCTCGATACTCATAAATATTTGTTTAGTGGTAGTTGCAAAAGTTTCAACTTTGTGAATATAAAAACTTGCGGCTATAGTTGGTGTCAAACGTCACTTTTCTGTGTAACCTTAGGATTTCGCAGCAGCTGTATTAACAAGAATAATCAAACTGAGTTGTACCGTAGATTAGGTAATAGTAAAACTTGAAGAAAACATAAAAATATCTCACTGACCTTTGCAATATTTTAATACATATATATGCGAATAAATATACAGGGTAGATCCGGTTGTTATCTTGTTATTTAAGTAAGAATATTCCTCTTTTTGTTGTATAAATATATTTTTTTTTTCTTATTTATTTACAACGAAGTATCAGAATATTTTTTTTGTATTTCGTACGGATTTATTTTCTAATTATTTGTCTTTACGGATCAATTACTATATTGCCTGAATGTAAAGATAACAATCTGAGGTGTGATGCGAAAAAGAAACAATTTTATAAATAGGAAAGTTAGTTTTTTTTTTTTATTCTACTTGGTCTGATATTTTTATGTGTTAAGCAGCTTTTGTAAAACTATTGTATGCACTCAACTATTTCATTCTCAAATGCTTGTACGTTTGATTGAACATTAGCTCTTTATTTATGTATTAGACTATTTATTATAAGATGTTTTTTATGAAGCGTTATGAGTTTTGCACCGAATAAAATTTTTAATTATTATTTGCTTTTTATTTCAAAAATTTCATTCAATAAGAAAATTCAACAATACTTTATTAAAGATGAAATA